GGGATCACTGCATACTGGTGGGTCTACGACTTTGGCTGGCACTAAGGCAAACTTGGTATGTGATTTTAAAATTCAGTTTACTCTATCTATAATTTCATATTTAAGATTGTGATTTATTTCGAATTGCAGGAGAAGTCGTTGAAGAGAACACCTACGACTGGAGAGTTGTTTAAGCAGACACACACTCACAGGCAGGACAAAAACCTATGGGTTGATACACGATCTCATTAATATATTGATATTATATGTTATTATTAGTGATTTATTAAATAATTCTCTAAACTAATATCTAATTATCTGAACTGAACTGTAGGATGACTATGTTCAAAGGCTTGAGGAGACATCTTCTCAAAATTCAGAGTCAGTAGATGTGGATGCTATGTGGTCACAGACAGTGGGTGACCTTTATAAAGGTTGCATTTATGGCATGGGGGCCACTTTGCAGACTCTATGTCCCCTGCATCTGTCACTGGAGATGCCTCTTCTCTTGCACCTGAGGAAGTGGAGGACATGGTCCACACTTGATGTGTGTATATATTATCATTGCATTCATGCTTTAGATTAGGCCATTTGAATATATTATTGCATTGTTTAGTTGATTTTATCATGTATTATCTTTGTTTTAGATTACACGTTTTTTTTTCTTGTAAATAAATATTTTAGGTGCATCAAGTTGAAAAAGAGAAAACAAAGTAAAGATTTCAAGTCAGAAGATTCCACAACTGAATTGTGGATAATTCCATGCTTGTGGAAATATTTCAGAGTGAAAGCTAGAAGTCAGAGAGAATCACAACCAGATTGTGGATTTTTTGCTATACTTGTGGAAACACTCTAGAAATGCAAAAGTCATCCAGAAAGATCCACAAGCAGGTTGTGGATTTTCCCACAATATGTGGTTTCACCATTTGCGAATTTTTATAATTTTAAGTGGACTTGGCCCAAGGAGGAGGAGGCAAAAAGACAAAATTTTAGAAGATAAATAGGGGGGCATCTGAGAGATAAAGGAGCAGAAAAGACGGAGAAGAAAGCTAATACCGGGAGGTGGAGGCTACCTTGATGTGATCAACCGCTTTATTAGTCTTTGGGTTTTTATTTTAAATTTTGCATAGCTAATTTCTTTTATGTTAGAGAATTGATGTAGTACTTTGGATCATACGTGCTGAACCTTTTCAATTGTTATTGAGTATTTTTCATTATCCCTGTGTTCTATCTTTGTTTATTATGTTTATTCTATAAGCAATTTTACAATTGGGAGATTGGGAATTGTTTGCGAAAAGAGGTAGAACAAATTAGGTTTTGTCACAATTGGGAAATTGGGTATACCTAATTAGTTTTCTTACGAGACAATAATTGTTATTCATAGTTCTTTTGAATTTCATAATCATTCTAAGGAATTAGGGATTAGGGTTCAATGAACAGTTCTACTTGCCCAAGGAATTAGGGGTAGACAACTCTTAATAAACTCAAAGTCGATAATTTGAATTCTTGTATCGGTTGAAAAGGGTAGGAACGTATAAGAAAGAGTACGAAATCAATTGTCTAACAATTTCATCGTAATTAAATTTTCGTAAAATTAAGAATTTTTCGTGGTTAATCTATTTCTTAATTTCTTAAACTTAACAAAAATTAGTGATCTAGTATTCAACAACTTCAATCCTTGAGGACGATATTTTTTTTACTACAGTAACGATTGGTACACTTGTCAAACGACAACAGCACCCAGGTCCATGCCCTCAATGAAGAACTCCAGAAGCAGAATGAGGAGATGTGGAAGAGTAAGGAAAGTGCATGGAAGAAGAAGTGAGTAAAGAAAATGGAGAAGAAGATAGAGAAGAAGGTGGCATCGAGAATGCAAAGGGAGGTCCAGCCGCAGATGAAGCAACAACATATGCAGATGCAGTAGATGCATGCTTATTTTGAGCTCATGAGAGCAAGCAGCTCCACATCTCTTCCTCCTCCTCCACCAACTCCAGCACCACCGATTTTCACCTCCATGCATCATTCCTCTTTTGACTCCTCGTCTACTGATGATGATGCTCCTTCGAATGATGATCATATAGATTATTCATGATGAAGACTTGTATTTTATTTTTAAATGTATTTATTTGGATGCTTTTGTCTTCCTTTGTAATAACATTTAAATTTTATATTTTATAATTATTTTTAAATGTTTAGATGCACAATTTATAGTTGTTATTATGTTTATAAATTGTGATAATCAAGAACAGTCAGAAATAACTATCTATATAAACAAAAAATACTAATAATAGTAAAATATATTACAGACGGATTACAGATTGATTTTTTCGTCTGTAACGTACAGACGGATTGTGAAATCTGTCTGTAATTTCAAAAACTATTGTAATGATTTAAAAATATGTTTGTAAATCCGTCTGTATATATAGACTTTTTAGTAGTGTTAGTACCATTATATATTTTCCTAAATCAAAGCATATAACAGTGAAGCCCTATTTATATATTCACTAAATAGCCAACTAAAAACTTGTGATTTGGTATAGATTAGTTGCTTCAGATATGTCATTTGGGCTTGTTACTTATGTTAAAGGTCAAATACATAAAAAATACCAATGATAAATAATTTTAGTGTACTTCACCATTATAGCATTCAATGAATCATAATCAAATTGCAAAGTGAAACACTGGATATATGATAATAGTATGTTACATCTTTAATGGAGAGCAATTGGGGACAGGAAAAAGAACTGAATGCAGGTAAAAAAAAAATAACAAATCATCTACACTTTATCAGTACCTGAAGTTGCAGAGTAAGGTATGCCTGAACACAGTTTTTGGACGAAGGTGGCAGCGAAGCTTTGCAAGGATGGCAAGGAAGCTTTGGGAGGATGGGAGGACGCCTTGGGGGGATGGCTGTGCAGCTTCTATGCTCCGTGGGGGTGATGACTAGAGAGATATCAAGTTAGGAGACAATATATGAAGTTAGGGTTCAAGGACATTTTTTGTCAATTTAGTAAACTAGGGAGGACACTTTAATCATTTTTATTACTGTGTCCCTATCTCCCGTGTACCTCATCTCTAGAGGGACACAAATTTTGTCTATTTCGTGTCCATTCTTATCCCTCTGTGTCCATTGCTTTCTCTGTCCTTCATCCACCAAACGACACCCGTAGGTGTTTGTGTCCATGTCTAGTAACACTAAAAGCATGCTAAGGTACTCATCTTTGAGAAAAAAAAAAATAAAATCCAAATCTTATACTTTAAACTTTAAACTCTAAAAAATTCATGAGCACAAATAGCTCATAAAAACAAAAAAATATTTACTATTTTTTAAAATAACATATTTTAATTAAATAATTAAAACTTATTGTCTAAATCTACGTAAAAGGACTTTGTTTTAAAGTCATATACTTTGTTTTAAAGTCGTATAATTAAAATATATTTTATTCATATTCTAAAAAAAAACATATTAAAACCATCGACAGATTACAAGCATTCTCACCTAATAATACTTTCTCTTTATCTCGCTTATATTTCTTTACTTTCTCTATATTCTTAAGTCTACGAACTCTGTTCCTCAAATCTCATCCCAAAACAGCGTACAAAGTTTGCTTCTTCAACGTTGGTAACTTGGTATAAAGAACATGAATTGTTTCATGTTCGTGTTGTTAATTTTTTTAGATATTTGGTATTTTCAAAACGGATTCGTCGCCCCAACGTTAATTTTTAAATCTTGACAAAAACAAAAAACGAACGTTAATTTTTAAATTATTTACATTGTTTCACCCAAAATAATTTTTTTATATTGATATTTGAAAAAAAAAATTATCACGTACAGTGAACGGATATTTGATATACGATGTGATATTATTTACGTTATAACGTTTATTTTTATTGAAAAAGCTATTTTCATACAATTTATATATTTAATTAAAATAAGTTTTAAGAAATATTAGTCATTGATCAATTTTATACTCATTTTCAAAGTTTTAAAAATATTTATTATTTTTTATATTTATCTTTCATAATTTATTAAACATTTTTTACTTTTCAATGATTAATATAATAATAGAGTTTAACCGTAAATAGGATATAATTATTTTTAAAAAAATATACATTAACTAATTTTAAATTTTCTTAATTTCTATGATTCAGTTAAAAGAATATTATATATATGAATGAATGAAGTAAGAAACTTTATGTCAGCTTCGCACGAATTAGAACTCATCCTCTAAACAAATGATTGAGAAAACTAAGCATTATAGTTTTAACTTTTCTTCTTAATTTATATTAGTAAATCATTATAATTTATACAAAGTCAATTATAGGTTGCATGTTTATTATATTTTATTAATTGTTGGATAAAATTTTGGGGTGAAAGAGAATTACATAATGAAGAAATTATAGGAACTAAATGTGAATAATTAAAATTAAAGATACAAAAAATGATCATAAGTAAAAATATAAAATTTTAACATAAAATATTATTAATCTTTTTTTTAACGTAAGATGATAATAAAAGTAAAATATCAAAACTAAAATAATAATTTTTACAATCAAATATGAACAAACTAAAATATCCAACCGTTATTTATATATTGTAATCGTTTACAATACGAACCCATCTCGATTCCCAACTGTTAATTCGACCATGGATGATGGATCACATCTATTAATTGGAACAACAAATGCCTAAAATACAAATCTGATAGTACAAACCCTATTCACTTATGGAAAATTTTATGAAGCAACTACCACAGGTTCAAGAACAAAGGGCTAAATTTAATCTTCTCTAATTCGTTCATTCATTTTACCAAAATTATAAAACCTCTTCTCTCAATTTAATGTCCTCCACAGCCTCTTCCTGTAACTTCTCTCACATGCCCAAAAATCGTTCTATAAATGTCTCTCCCTCCCTCATTCCTTTGCAGTTTTCTCATGTCTCATTAGAGAAAAACTACATTTTATCTAAGAATCCCTCTTGTAGTGCAAGAACCAAATCAAAACAAAAATAATAAATAAAAATGGCCAATCAACTCGTGGTTCTTGCACTCATTTTTGTGGCCATAAACGGCATGGCCATGGCTCAAGAGGCCCCATCTCCATCTCCAAAATCATCTCCATCACCTAAGGCTTCACCACCATCATCATCATCACCAAAGGCTTCACCTTCACCTTCATCATCATCATCATCACCAAAGACTTCACCTTCACCTTCACCATCACCATCCTCATCACCTGCACCATCATCTAATTCTCCCTTGTCCTCTCCTCCTTCCTCTTCCCCATCCGAGGAGGGTGAAATCTCAGCCCCACCGGCCCCTGGCAGCGACCCCATTGAGCTTTACGCTCCGGAACCTGCCCCCGCCGACGATGCCCTTACCCCAGATGCTGCTCCGGCCGACGAGGCCAGCCGTGCCGCAGCCCTTAAATTCTCTGCCGGCGCTGGCACGGCGTTCTTCGTTGGGTTCTTTGCATTCTAAGCTAGTTTATGCTAGATGTAACAGTATACTTGTGCATGCATATTCAATGTATTATCATATTTATGTTCATATGGTTAGGTTAAAACATAGCCAATGAGGAACAAGTTGTACTAGCGTATCAAAATCATTTATAGGCATTAATATAATATAAGTGAGTGGGAGAGAATGGGGATGGTTGGTTCATGTGAACAATACTAAGCTCTATGGTTCAATATTAAGGAGCCATTTTGGAGATAATTTCTAAAGTTTTATCTGATTTTTAATTTTTCTTCTTGTCTTCAGCTTTTCTATCAATCATTTTAGTTTTTTTTTGCATGTGATACATCCTGCGTAAGTTTTATTTTCCTTTTACTGTAGTGTATTGTCGTTTTATGATCGATCTTATTTATGTAATTTTTATTTAAAATATTAAATAATTTTATTTAAATAAAAATGATAATAGACACTTAGAATAATAACGCATTTTTGCTTTTATGTTAACTTAGTTCCATGATTTTCCCAAAATATAATAAGCTAACTATACAAAGAGTTACCTGGAGTTCAAGCTTTACGCTTCAAGCAAGTATTAAAGGCCGTTTGAAAAGACTAACGAACGATCTATAGAAAATAACTTATTACTAAGATATTTTTATCTTATTTCAAATTTTTTAATATAACTTATTAAATAATTATATTAAAAATAATTGATTGCAATAATAAGCAATTTTTCTAACATGTGTTAAAGGATCCAAGTTAAAAAATATATATATAACATTTAATATTATTAATGTATTAAATTATGTGAAATGTTATTATTTATAATAAAAATTTATTATCATATAATTCTTATTATGCACCTGCTAACGCACATTAGAAGAATAACAAGAAGTTTTTAACGAGAATACAAATAATAATAGGAAGCGTGGTTTATGCATAAATTCACATTAAGTTATAAAAAGATAAGAAAGGGTAAGGGGAGCGTGCAGCGTAGCCGAAAGCACCACATGTTTAATGGAGTTCATCCAACCATTTATACCTACGGTCTTCAAGAAACTATCCTGGAGGAGGTTCTGCTACGGCTTTCCAACCCTCAGGTTCTGGCTTGTGGGTTAACATTAGACACGGGGTGTTCTATTAGCACTCAGAGGGAGGCTTCTCACTCCAGAAGCTCACCATCTCTCTAGCTCAAAAGAGATGGAGCACTCAGAGGCAGAGGAAAGATCCAACGAGGAGCAAGATTAGGTAGATTGGAATACGAAGAAGGTGAAGGTCAAAGTTTTGTTCCAAAATGAGGACAACCAAGCGAACATGCAAGAAGATATTACAGATGAAAACCTTCAAGTGAGCTTGCAAGAAGATAAGTCTAATGAAGACCTCGCAAAAAAGGTGTTTTGTGACCATATTTTACCTCTTTCTATCTCGTATAAAAATAAAGTGTTGGAATTTAGAAATTTTAGTATAATCTTTAGAAATGATGATATTTTTAAAACGGTCATGGAAAAGCTTAATATTCCTCCTAAAAATGATGAACCAATTGTAAGCCCTAAAGATAATCAAGTAATATGATATGAACTTAGGGTTCTTCTTAAAGATTACGGACAATGGTGTTTCCCATTGAAACTGATCCTAATAGTCAAATTGCTAGATAGATCTATTAACTTTAACTATCTTAATCAAAAACTAATAAACTTATGGGACAAGAATGTGTCTTTAAAGATTCTGGATTTAAATAATGAATTTTTTTTGTCAAGTTTGATAATAGTGAAGACTATAAACTGACTTTGTTTAATGGGCTATGGGTCATCTTATCATTACCTTCTAGTCCAAAGATGGGAGCTTCTATTTAGGCCAAGGGATCAGGATCTTAGAAAGATAGCAATCTAGATTAGAATACCTGATTTACCACTAGAATTGTACAATGAAAAGTTTCGATGACAAGTGGGAGTTTGCCTGGGATATATGCTTAAAATAGACCCCATACATCTTTATTGTCTAGGGGTAGATTTGCTAGGATATGTGTTGAGTTAGATTTAAAAAGAAAACTTATTCCTTCCTTTAAGGTGTTAGGGCAAGAGTTTAAAGTAGAATATGAGGGACTACACCTTATATGTTTCTCTTGTGGGAAATATGGTCATAGGCAAGAGTAATGTGTTGAACTCCTTCCACCCCTTAAAAATAACAATGATTCCACTACTATGGATGAGAGTGATGGTTCTACTATTTAGCCTATTAATTATGAGGTTATTGGTGAGTGTTCCTTGGAAAATAATGTTGGGGAAGACCAAAATAGATTTGAGCCATGGATGTTGGCCAAGAAACCAATGAGAAAGAAACTAGGGCAATCTAAAATAGTAAATAATTCTAACCTTATTGAAAAAAGTAAGGAGTATGCCTCTGACTGAAGATTTGATGTCTTAAGTAATAAAAAAAAATTTAAATGGGTTTGGAAAACAATCGTGGTCTAACTAGTTATACTACTCCTAATAATAATAGGGAATATGTAACTAAGCCCCTACATAATAACCAAGTTCAGTCTAAAGCTAATAAAATAATTATAGTAAGATCCAAATTAGGCAACCACCTTAAAAAGGTTAATAAACCTAAAATAATCCCAAAATAAGACAGAGTAAGTGGGGATAATGTTTCTAATCTTCAACCTGTGAATATGTTTGAGTGTAAAGTTGGTAAAGAATCTTCAGAAAATTCCAAGAATAATGAAATTCTCTTTTTAATGAACAATCTTTAGAGGGACTTAATTGAGAATAATAAAGGTACTAAATCTATCCAAGACCTCGTAAGCATTAGTTCTAGCCACTTTTGGCAACATCTAGGAAAGACAAATCCTAAAGTTAAACCACCTGACCCTGACCAACATAGTAGTGTAGCTGATCCTTCATACCAAGCTTCTGGTAACCCAGTAACTATCAGCCTATGACATGCATGGTCAAGCCTCAACATCCTTTGGATACTATCTAACTATTCGCCTTTCCAATCTTATAAATTGTCTTTTTTAAAATTGTAGAGGAGATGGAAGGAAGTCTTTCTCCAGACTCATTAATGACTTGATTGCTATTTACTAGTTTGATTTCATAGCTCTTTTTGAACCTATAGTATGTATTGCTAAAGCTGATAAAATAATCAATAGATTCGATCTAGATGGTTCTGTTAGGGTTGAAGCTATTGATTTTTCAGGGGATATTTGGTGTATTTGAAACATTAGCAAGGTTAATTTCTCAATCCTACAAAAATCTAAATTTATCTTCCATCCCAATATTAGCATTCTCGGATATGAGGATTGGATCCTCTCTTTTATTTATGCAAGCCTGCAAGAAGACTTGAGATCTACTTGCTGGGGAAGAAATTGTTGACTTTAGACTTTTTGTTTAGTCTCCCTAATGCTTGACTGGAGATTTCAATTATGTGCTTTATGATTGAAAAAATAAGGGGCAATCCAGCTAACCTAATTCTATTAGGAAATTTGTTGATTACCTTAATAGATGTGGGCTGCAGGACATGGGTTTTAAAAGGAGTTCTTTCACTTGGTAGAGAGGTGAGTTAAAAGAGAGACTAGATAGGGCTATAGTAAATGATGCTTGGCGTCTTCTTTTTCATAATAGCTCTGTTATTCATGTCCTTATCCTGAAATCAGACCATGTTGGTACGTGGTTGAAAGTCAGAGGTGATAATCTCCCTTCAAAGAATGATAGTACTTTAAAGTTTCTTGCTCCTTGGTTATCTCATAGTGACTTCGCTAATCAGGTTAAGAATTCTTTGTGAATCTCTAACTCCTGCTCTAACAATGTAGCTAGATTTAGAAGAAACATATCTGATTGAAACAAGAATATGTTTGGTAATATTTTTAATAAAAAAAAGCACATTTTTAGTTGCATTGAAGGCATTTCCCATAAACTGGCTACTGGAAACAACCCTTATCTATCTAATCTTATGACTTTCTTAGGGAAGGAATACCAATTAATTATGGATTAGGAAGAGTGTTATTGGTTTCACCACTATAGAGTTAATTGGATTAATCTTGGAGAAAGAAATATTAAGTTCTTTCATAGAGCTGCCTTGATTCGTAAAAATAGGAATCTTATAGAAGCCTTAAAAGATGAGAATAATATGTGGAAATATGACTCCTTAAAATTAGAGAATATGGTTGTTCAATTTTTTCAAGATATAGATAGGGCAAAATTCAATGCCCTTATAACTATGAATAAAGTTAGATCAACCCTATCCTGACCCTGATGGGCTACGTGCTTTATTTTTCAAAAATCAATGGAGCTTCCTAGCTCCCTTCATTTTCAGCTTTGTTTTAGCTGCTTTTAATAACCCTAGAAATTTTATTGAGGTTAATAAAACTATCATTACTCTAATTCTAAAAACTGCTAATCCAGAGTATGTTTCTAAGTTTTTGCCAATATTCTTTTGTAATGTTAGCTATAAAATTATTACTAAATTGATTGATAATAGAATTAAGAACTCTTTACCCATTCTGATTTCTGAAAACCAGAGACAAAGGATTGATAACTCCCTTATTCTTCAAGAACTTATCCACTCCTTTAATAAGCTAAAAGGCAAGTCTACTTATATGATCATCAAATTAGATCTAGAAAAAACATATGATAAACTTAGGTGGAGCTTTATTTTGGATATCCTCCTTAAGGCCGGCCTAACCCTAAACCTTTCTAATCTAATATATGATTGTATATTATCTTCTTCCATGTACCTTAATTGGAATAACAACCCCACCAAGTGTTTTTCTCCTTCTAGAGGGATCTGTAAGGATAATCCTTTCTTTCCCTATCTTTTTGTTCTTTGTTTAGAAAGACTTACTCATTTAATTCAAGACAATGTCTTAAATAATGAGTGGATACCTTTTTCCTTTACTAGTGCTAGTCCTAAGCTTTCTCATCTTTTCTTTGTTAATAATATTATTGTTATTTGCTAAAGCTGACTTGCAGTAAGCCAACATCATTAAAAATGTGTTATCCTCCTTCTATTCTGCATCTGGTCTCAAC